TTCCCGCCTCACCACTCTCCTGCTCCCTCCAGACATGCAGGGACCCTGGGTGCTGCTGCTGCTGCTGCTGGGCCTGAGGCTACAGCTCTCCCTGGGTGTCATCCCAGGTGATGAGGCTCCCCTCGTTGCCCCTACACACGGGGCACCCCCAGCCCAGGCTGACCTGATCTTTGCTCTCCCCTTGGCCAGTTGAGGAGGAGAACCCGGCCTTCTGGAACCGTCAGGCAGCCGAGGCCCTGGATGCTGCCAAGAAGCTGCAGCCCGCACAGACAGCCGCCAAGAACCTCATCCTCTTCCTGGGAGACAGTGTAGTGAGCCAGACTGTCCAGCCCGCAGCCCTCACGGCCCCAGCACCCAGGACTGTTCGGTGGTTCCAGGACAGCCCTGGGGCCCAAGCCTCACACATTTCTGCTCCTTCAGGGATGGGGGTGTCTACGGTGACAGCCGCCAGGATCCTAAAGGGGCAGAAGAAGGGCAAACCGGGGCCTGAGACACCCCTGGCCATGGACCGCTTCCCATACGTGGCTCTGTCCAAGGTGAGGGCTGGCCCACCTCGGAGTCCTCCAAGCAGAGAAGAGGAATCCTGGCTATGGAGGGCGGGAGGAGGGAGGGACCCTAGACTGCTGGGGCTGGAGTAAGAGCTGGAGGCAGCTGCAATCCCAGAGGACAGAGATCATGGTCTGGGTCTGGTGCCTGCCCCAGAGAAGAGCCCAGAGTCTCTGTCCCCAGACATACAGTGTAGACAAGCATGTGCCAGACAGCGCAGCCACAGCCACGGCCTACCTGTGCGGGGTCAAGGGCAACTTCCAGACCATCGGCCTGAGCGCAGCCGCCCGCTTTAACCAGTGCAACACGACCCGCGGCAACGAGGTCGTCTCCGTGATGAACCGGGCCAAGAAGGCAGGTGAGCTGGGGCCACTGCGGGGTCAGGGCCGGGTCACAGACCTGTGTTGGGTATCCTGACCTCTGTCACCCTCAGGTAAGTCAGTGGGAGTGGTGACCACCACACGGGTGCAGCACGCCTCGCCAGCCGGTACCTACGCACACACGGTGAACCGCAACTGGTACTCAGACTCCAACATGCCTTTCTCTGTCCGCCGGGAGGGCTGCCGGGACATCGCCACGCAGCTCGTCTCCAACATGGACATTGACGTGAGACCCCAAGGCCAAGATCTGGGACTGGGCAGACAGTAGCAGGGGGCACCAGCTGAGACCCAGGCAACCAACAGCCTGATTGGGCCAGCAGGGTCTGGAGGTTGGAGACGTAGAAGGTCCAACCCTGGCGAGACCCTTCCCACAGCCCTGGGGAGGGGAGCCAGGGTCTGTGCATGAGGAGGGGGCACAGGGCTAGGCAGTCCCCAAACCGACCTGCCCATCCTCTTCCCCAGGTGATCCTAGGCGGAGGCCGAAAGTACATGTTTCGAATGGGGACCCCAGACCCTGAGTACCCCCATAACTACAGCCATGACGGGATCAGGCTGGACGGGAAGAACCTGGTGCAGGAATGGCTGGCGAAGCACCAGGTGATGGGGGCTGGTGGGTGCGGGGTCACAGCAGGGGTGTAGGGCTCGGGGCTGTGGGCTGAGGCCTGGCTGTGTGCCTGCAGGGTGCCCGGTACGTGTGGAACCGCACTGAGCTCATGCAGGCTTCCCTGGACCTGTCTGTGACCCACCTCATGGGTAATGACCCCCTTCCTGCCCTGGCACCCCTCAAATGGCTTAAGATAGCACCTTCTGAGCCTGTGTGCAGGTCTGCCAGCACCCTCCCACCCCCAGCCTCCCAGTCACCACGGGATCCCTTGTCCCACAGGTCTCTTTGAGCCCGAAGACATGAAATATGAGATCCACCGAGACTCCACACGAGACCCCTCCCTGATGGAGATGATGGAGGCCGCCCTACGCCTGCTGAGCAGGAACCCCCGAGGATTCTTCCTCTTTGTCGAGGGTGTGTGATGGCCCCTGGCCAGTGGGAGCAGGAGGTTGGAGCAGGGCAGGTTCAAGCACCACCCGCCTCTGGCCTTCCTGCAGGTGGTCGCATCGACCATGGTCATCATGAAAGCAGGGCTTACCGGGCACTGACTGAGACGATCATGTTTGACGACACCATTGAGAGGGCGGGCCAGCTCACCAGCGAGGAGGACACGCTGACCCTCGTCACCGCCGACCACTCCCACGTCTTCTCCTTTGGTGGCTACCCGCTGCGAGGGAGCTCTGTCTACGGTAGGCTTGGGGAGAAAGGCAGGTGCTGCCCCATAAATTTTGTGGGTGAAATCTGAGCGTCAGTTTCCTCCTCTGTCAAATAGAGGCAATGCTGGCACCTGCCCTGTAGGGTCTCAGGGACTAAGCTCCGGACCAGGCAAAAGGTGGCGGTGCCTAGAACATGGGAGGCACTTCCACAGCTGTGTTCAGCTCAACCACGGGACCCCTCTCTCTGCAGGGCTGGCCCCCGGCGAGGCCCGGGACGGGAAGGCCTACACGGCTCTCCTATATGGAAACGGTCCCGGCTACGTGCTCAAAGACGGTGCCCGGCCGGATGTTACCGAGAGCCAGAGCGGTGAGTGCTGCGGGGTGGCCCTCTCAGGGGGACTAGGGCGCCAAGGATGGGGGACTGGCAGGAAGGACTCTCCTCCTGTCTGCCTGGAACTGAACCCTTCTACCGGAACTGAACCCTCCTACAGGGAGCCCCGAGTACCGGCAGCAGTCAGCAGTGCTCCTAGACGAAGAGACCCACGCAGGCGAGGACGTGGCGGTGCTCGCGCGCGGCCCGCAGGCGCACCTGGTGCATGGCGTGCAGGAGCAGAGCTTCATAGCGCACGTCTTGGCCTTCGCCGCCTGCCTGGAGCCCTACGAGGACTGCGACCTGGCGCCCCCTGCGGGCACCACCGACGCTGCGCACCCGGGGCCGGCCGCGGTCCCAGGTTCACTTCCCCTGCTGGCTGGGATCCTGCTGCTGCTGGGGGCGGCCGCTGCTCCCTGAGTGCCCTGTCCCTGGGGCTCCTGCCTCCCCATCCCGGAGTTCTGTTCCCCACCTCCAGTGGTCCTGCCAGGCCTCCATTCTGAGCTGTCCCCCCTGGAGTCCCCACACAGATGCCTAGCCATGGAACCTTCACCTCCCCGTGCCCCCTGGGGACTGAGCCCCACACCAAACCTGCCCTTTGGCTTCTCCCAGACTCCCTGCCCCAACCCCAGGGACTAAGGGTTGTGTCCTGAGGCTGCCTGCACCCCAGGAAAGGAAGGGGCTCAGGCCATCCAGCCCCCCACCTACAGCCCAATGAGTACCAGGCAGGCTCTGCTCTCTTCCTGGGGAAAAGAAGCACCCAGGCCCCGAACCTCGCTGATCTCTGCTTCAGTCCTTGAATCACCTGTGGGACTTGAGAACTTTGAGCATCAGGATGCCTGGAGAAGCGTGGCTTCCTGCCACCCTGCCGGTCAAGGAGGCTGCTGGGGTGGAGGTCCCCAGGGGGATTTTGACACAGTCCTCGGCTGCCCCCACTGGGCTAATACCACACCCCTGCACCCCTCCAAGGGACCCCAAATCACAACTGCTCAGATGTTTCCCACCCCAAATGCCCATTTCAGCACCCAACTGAGATCCAAGGAGATCCTGAGAAGATCTGGGTGCAGGGCAGCAGCCCAGAGCCCAAGGTCCCTCTGCAGCGCAGGTCTCTGGACACTGGGCATAGATTTCTCAACAAGGAAGACTCCCCTGCCTCCCGGGGGGCTCTGTTCTCCTCCGAGGCAAAGCAATAATAAAAGGAAGTGTTTGTAATCCCAGCACTTCATGAGGCCGAGGCGGGCAGATCACCAGGTCAGGAGATCGACACCATCCTGGATAACATGGTGAAACCACATCTCTACCAAAAACACAAAAAATTATCCAGGCGTGGTGGCACATGCCTGTAGTCCCAGCTACTTGGGAGGCCAAGGCAGGAGAAGCACTTGAACCCAGGCAGCAAAGGTTGCAGTGAGCTGAGGCTGTGCCACTGCACTCCAGCCTGGGCAACAGCGTGAGACTCCATCTCAAAATAAATAATAAATAAAAGGAAGTGTTAGACAATGTAATGCCAGTACTACTTCCTAGGAGAAAAATCATGAGTGCCTGTGGGCACAATGTCTGGAGGGGTGGACAACGCAGCCAGGAGGGGCTGCTGAGGAGCAGACGGTTGAGCAAGAGACCTGCACAGAGTGGGGCTTGAGCAAGGCGGCACAGCAGTGCCAAGGCCCTGAGGCGGTGCCAGCAGGTGCTCTGGGAGGCCAAGGAATGGATCAGAGGGTGGGGTGGGTAGAGGGGTCAAAGGGTGGGAGGTATGGGGGGGGTTGTGAAGTCTGAGTAGTGGGGTGTGGTTGGAGGTCTTTGAGGGGGCTGTGACCCGCCCTGGCTGGGAAATGAGCACTCTGGCTGCTGCCAGAAGCAGGGTCTGGTCGTGGGAGAACGGGGTGGCGGCAGGCCCCGGTAGAGCTGGGGAAGGAGCAGGCTCTGGTGTTTCTGACTTCCCTCCTAATGCATTCTGGAGCACCCATCCCAGCACAGCCGTACTTAGTGAGTCCTGCACCCGCCCCAAGAGAACACTGAAAAGATTTTTATTTGAGGCAGACTCTCATTCTGTTGACCAGGCTGGAGGGCAATGGTGTGGTCTCAGCTCACTGCAACCTCCACGTTCCAGGTTCAAGTGATTCTCCTGCTTCAGCCTCCCAAGTAGCTGGGATTACAGGCGCATGCCACCACAGCTGGCTAGTTTTTGTATTTTTAGTAGAGACAGGGTTTCACCATGTTAGCCAGGCACGTCTCCAATTCCTACCTCGGGTGATCTGCCCAACTTGGCCTCCCAAAGTGCTGGGATTACAGGTGTGCGCCATCGTGCCCAACCGAAAAGAATTAAAGGTGAAATCAAGCACATTTTCCAGCAAATTTTACACTATCACAAAAATACAAAAATTAGCCAAGCCTGGTTGCCCGTGCCTGTGGTCCCAGCTACTCAGGAGATTGTGGTGGGAGGATCACCTGAGGTCAGGAGTTTGAGATCAGCCTGGCCCACATGGTGAAACCAAAATCGTTCTAAACTAAAACATGGTCTCTACTAAAACTACAAAAATTAGTCAGCCATGGTGGTGGGCACCCAGCTACTTGGGAGGCGGAGGCAGGAGAATCACTGGAACCCAGGAGATTGCAGTGAGCCAAGATTATGCCAAACTCTGCAGCATGACTGAATATTTCCTTGCTTATGAAAATTGATTTAACATTGTAAAACATCTATTTGCCAGGCACAGTGGCTCATTGCCTGCAATCTCAGAAGTTTGGCAGGAAGAGGAGGTAGGATGACGAGTCCAGGAGTTCAAGAACAGCCTGGGCAACATAGTGAGACCCCATCTCTACAAAAACAACTGAGCCCAGGGAGGTGGAGGCTGCAGTGAAACAAGATTGTGCCACCACACTCCAGCCTGGGCAACACAGCAAGACCCTGTCTGAATATATATATAAGGACCTGGCTCTCTCAGGACAGTTTTTTTTTTTTTTTCAATTCTAGGTTTTAGTGGCTGTCACAAAATCACGGGAGGTGATCAGAAGGTAGACACCTTTACCTGGCCTTACTACATCATCATACCCATTGCTACGTTCCACCCACCACATTTGCAAAGGTTCTGGTAAAATCCAGCTGGTGGATTTCTGTCTTCCCAGCTGTCATGTGGTTAGGAAGTCCCTCTTTCTAACAAATGGGGAGGAGCTGCATGTTCACGTGTATGTTTTTATGGGCGCTCATACCCACGGATGTCTATATTCTAAAAATGGAGACGTTTTAAAAACAGATTATTCTGGCTGGGCATGGTGGCTCAGGCCTGTAATCCCAGCCCTTTGCGAAGCCGAAGCAGGCGGATCACTTGAGGTCATGAATTTGAGGCCAGCCTGGCCAACATAGTGAAACCCCCATTTTTACTAAAAATAGGAAAATCAGCCAGGTGTGGTGAGGTGCCTGTAATCCCAGCTAGCTGGGATTACAGGCTTAGACAAGAGAATCACTTGAACCCGGGAGGTGGAGCTTGCAGTGAGCTGAGATCGCACGATTGCACTGCACTCCAGCCTGGTGACAACAAGAACACTCCGTCTCAAAAAAACAAAACAAAACAAAAACCAGATTATTCTGAAACGAGATCATTCTGTTCTCAAGCTTCCTTTTCCTGTGTCGGCATGCGTGTTTATGAGTCCAACACGTTGTTGACCCCAAAATCAAGTGTCAAAATATTTTCAAACTTCTGCTAAAAAATATACGCTTTCCTTAGCATGAGTTTGTTTTCGTTTTGAGACAGAATTTTGCTCTTGTCACACAGGCTGGAGTGCAATGGTGCGATCTCGGCTCACTGCAACCTTCGTCTCCCGGGTTCAAGGGATTCTCCTGCCTCCGCCTCCTGAGTAGCTGGGATAACAGGCTGGCGCCACCACGCCCAGCTAATTTTTTGGTATTTTTAGTACAAAAGTTGATGAGCCGACCTTCTCCACGGGTAATTTCAAAGGGGTCACCACCACAGCTTTTAGCTGCAGTGAACCCGGAGAATGAAGTACTCAGACAACTGCAGCTGAGCGGGGTGGAGAGGGGCTCTGGCCCCAAAATCCGTCCGCCAAGTATTTATTGAGAGGGCTTGTTAAAGTACAAACACCCACCAGATGGCTTTTGGCAGTCGGGTCATGAGGCGCAGAAGGCCTTGTGAAAGCACTCAGACCACATTCTTAGGAGGCTGTTTTCAGCGCTCATCACACATTCTACTCCTCGTCCGGTTTTCAGGGCCAGGAGTTACAGTCTCACGCACAAACAACAGACACACAGTGCCTCAGTATCTTTCCATGCCTCGACTTCAGATGCCTTGTACATAAGCTTGAATACATAGTCGTGCGCCGCCCCCGGCCTCACTGCCTGCCAGAGGGCTGGGAAATGGCTGCTCAACACCGCAATTACCCCAGGGAAATAAATGACTTACGCCTTCCTCCCCCGCTCTGCCGCTGTGCGCTCCCCCCCACCCCCCGCTTTCCCTTCCTCCTGTCTCTTGCACTCTCCTCCGGCGCGCAGAGACCCCCGGGCAAGGCCCCTGCGCCCCAGGTCCGTGGCCGCTGGCGGGGCGCTGGGGTGGGGGGGGGCGCACGCACGCGGATGACGTAGCGCGAAACCCATCGCCCAGGGAGACCGTGAGCTAGAAGAGCGCGGCGGCGCTGTCCACGCCCGGCACTTTTTACAACAGCCGGTTGAGGTCCCATCGTTCCGCGACCCCCAGGTGCTCCACCGTGCCGCCCAGGTCCCAGCCCCCCGCAGTCCTCGATGACCCCCAGCATGGGCCGCGGGTTCGGTCGCTGGAGGTCGCGCAGGTCGAGGCAGTCAGCGGAGGAAGGCGCTCTCCTAACTCTGGGCGGCGCTCCTAGTTCTGCTTGTAGTTGGCCGCGATGGTGCCATAGGTGAGCTTGTCCTCGTGGCGCCGCAGCCAGCCGCCGCAGGCGAACGAGTAGAAGTCCTGGCAGGGGTCGATGCCGGCGTCCAGGTCAGCGTCCAGTAAGCGAGCGGCGCGAGCGAAGGCCGTGCGCTCCAGGCAACCCTCGGGACAGGCGCCGCCGCCCGCCGCGAACGGTCCCAGGTGCTTGAGCGCCAGCATTGTCGCCATGATCGCGCAGAGGCCTGCGGCGAACACTAGCCCCGACAGCAGACACACCTTGCGCAGGTTCCGGCGCTGCAGCCCGACCTGGGGCAGGTGATGCTCAGCCCTGGGAAAAGTCTGAGGGCAGGGAGGTCCGGCGCCTCAACGGCTCAAGTACTTGACCTCCTATTACTCGTCGTAGTGCGCCGTCAGCGAATGCGAGGGCTCCGTGGCGCCAAGGCCACCCAGGTGCCGCCCTGGGCCACCTGGGCTACGGGATGCGCGTGGCCGCCGGCCTCCTCGTGGGCCTCTGCATGGCCCCGGGGCCGCAGCTGCGGGAAAAGCAGTCAGGCTCAGAAGGCG